AACCAGTTGAAGAACTCATCAATAAACAGATCCGCGTGTTCACCAAACTGAGGGATTGGACTACTTCGAATAGGAGGCAGGTTCGGATTCGATGGCAGGTTCGGATTCAATGGCAGGTTCGGATTCGATGGCAGGTTCGGATTCGATGGCAGGTTCGGATTCGATGGCAAGTTTGAATTTGATGGCAAGTTTGAATTCGATGACAAGTTTGAATTCAGTCCTCCCATGCCTCCCATTCCTTCCATCATATATTTCATCACCATCACATTGATTATCTCACTTGGAGACACAATATTAGATGAAGAAGGAGTTGAGGGAGATATTGGATACGATAGAAGCTGACAGTCATATCATTTGTTGTGACATTCCGTAACTTGATCTTTATAGGCTCCTTTATCCCATTGATAATCACCCGTTCATACAGCTGAATGAGATCTCAGGCTCAGGGGTAGGTGTTCGCAGAAATCGAGGATCTTCTGACTGTGTCTCCTCCTCCTCCTCCTCCTCCACCTCCTCCTCCTCCTCCTTATCCTCCTTCTCATCATCAGTTGGATTCTCGTCATTATCCGGAACATCCGGAACAGGCGGTTTGGACAGACGAAGGCGCAGGGTAGTTGGAGTCCTTTTACGAGCTTGCGAGGCAGTAAAACGGTGGGTGTTGCGGGGCATATTGGCAGATTTGATGATAAAGATGCGTATTTGATGATAAAGGTGTGTATTTGAATGAATTGAATGATATTTGAATGATTCTAGAGATATGTGGATATTTTGATTATTTTTGCGGTGTTGTTCTACTATTTTTCAGGGGGTGGCAGAAAATTCTGTTTTCGCAAGCTTTACGTCCGCTACAATAGATTGTGCTCGGTCGTAGTGAGAGTAATAGGAACACCATTACTGGCTCAGTCGACAACTTGCGGCAATGAGAGCTCTCAGGCATTGCTACAGGCAGGTGGGGTTATGCTTGTAGAATGGGAACGCAGTTATGCTTAGGTACAATAGTGCACTAGGCGAGCATGATTGACAAGCATTATCCAACTTTTGAGAATTCATTCCTCGATGTATATTTATAATACAAGGGCGTGCTGTGTTGTGACCGATGTGGAATAAGAATCCATGTGCTTTTCTTTGAGCGCCGCGTTCCCAGGCCTGGATCCAGTATGGATAGCTGGAATTGT